GAAAATCATAAACATAGCAATTCTCAGCTGATGAAAATGTTAGATTCACCAGGAAGTGATGGAGTTCCTTGTCAAGTTACACCTGTACTTGGCAGGTTACTACAGCTGACGAAATTGGTTTTCTTGTATCTTTTTATTCATTTTTTTCTTTATTTTCTTTACGGTTCTTTAGTTTCTTTACATTTTTTCTTCTTCCTTTTTTTATGCACGTTTGTTTTATTTTCTATTTTTTGTGTTTTTTGTTCTTTTCTTTTCTTTACGTTTATTTCTTTACTTATCTTTTCTTTACGTTTTATTTCTCTTATCTATTTCTATTTGTTACGTTTCTTCATTTTCTTTTTCTTCTCTTTATGGTTCCTTTTCTTTTTTATTTCCTTTATATAGCTTACTTCTATTTTTTTCCTAAAGTTTCTTCCTTTTATTTTTTCTTGTCCTTTCTTTTTTTACGTTTCTTTTCTATTTTTTCCATTACTTTTCTTTGTCCTTTTCCTTTTTTTTACGTTTCTTTCTTTTTTAACTTTTTATTTTCTTAACGTTCTTTCTTGTATCGTTTTCTATTCTGTCCGATTCATCCTTATATTCTTCTCATTTCTTTACCTTTCTTTATTTTCTATTTTTCTTTTCTTTTACTTTTCTTTAATTTCACCTTTTCTTTCCTTTGCGTTTTCTTTCTTTCTGTTGCTCCTCTAAAGAAAACATTACATTCAGCATAATGCAGATCTTGGCATATGGCGTCTCTACAATCTTATAAAATAAACCAAAAGTATAACGAGTATGCTATATGTTGACTCCACATGCCCATTTAGAATGACTGTCACATATATGATGAATATTTCATCTTTAACAAGCGATTGAGCGAACCCTTTGACTTTCCCGCCTTCGAAATGTCCCATAAAACTTTGACGGAATGGAATTCAAAATAAAGATATTGAGATTTGCCGTCTCTTAAAATAAAGAAAAATAATGTAGAACAGCAAAACTTGATTAATGTTCTTAATGTTCTACTCAGTAGGGCAATTTGATATAATTTAAAAAGGAGGAAATGTTATTAATCTGTACCAATATTGCCTTTAGAATTATTAGTATCTGGCCGGTTTGTTGAATTCCCGACCCGATGAATATTCACATATACGGACATGGATATACACAGAAAAAAATGCATGTCTATCAGTCTAGACTTTCATATCAACCGGATAAAGAGATAGATAAATGTATGTCTATCAGATAGATAGACAGATATACATTTATTTCTGTGTATATATATGTCCATATTTATGTACATTCATTGGATCGGGCCTCGCACAATTTTAACAAACCGGCCACTTATTTTTACTTCATTTGTCTGTATCATAACAACTTTCACGTTGATAAACAATATCAACAATGATATCATTGGCAATAGTAATGTTGATATCAGAAATAATCATAAGTTCTATAGAATAATGGTAGCAATGTCAATGTACACATCAATGACGATGGTGATAACAATGATATAAGATACATAATGGCAGTAGTTATGACAATGATGAAGATGAGCATGATATTGAAGTGTAATTTTCAAGTATCGTGATAAGAACAATTGATATCAATTTCATTATAATTGTTATAAAGCTAATGATCAAAATGATGACCGTGTTGATAACGGTAATAACTTAAATAATAATCATTGTAATGTCGATAATAATAAAAACGATAAAGTTCATAAAAGCTAGAATGATAATGGTGATGTTGATAACTGTTACGATGATGATAAACGATGATAATTATAAAAGACTACCAACAATATTACAAATAATGTTTAATAGTCATAATGTCTATTAATAATAATGTTACCAATAATGATGAAAGTATTAAAAGAATTAATGATTATAGCAATAATCATAATGAAGATGATAATAGTAGTATTGATAATGATGATAATTTATATTAATGCTAGTATGTCTAATGATGATAATGATATTGGTGATGACGATACTAGCAAAAAGGATGATAATAAGCCAAAATAGGGGATAATTAGAAGGATTATAATGGTAGGTATGATTTAATGGTAATAAAAGTGATAGTTAAAAAGTACTGATGATTATGATATTGATAGCAATAGTAATGATATTAATGATTATAGTTATTAAATTGTCAACTGCAACAAACGTAAAAATAAAGTTATGACTGAGAATGAGTCAAAATGCAATAATGATACAATAATGATAATAGTGATAATAATGATTGATAGTAACGGTGATAATAATGATAAAATTTAACATCAATATAATCATTATCATCATTTTCATTGTTTAGACAACAATAGTAATTATAATAATAGTAATAACGATAAAGATAATTATAAAGATAATAACAATGATAATGATAATAACAATGAAAATGATAATAATGATAATAGATGCAATGATGATAGCAACGCTAATGACAATAATAATGATGATGACAATTATGATAACAATAATGATTATGATAATGATGATAATGATGACAGTAATAATAGCAATGATAGCAGGAATGACAATAATAACAACAATAATAATGATGATAGTAATAACAATGATGATAATGAAAATAATAAAGACATTGATTATGATGATAATGAATTTAATGATAGTAGTAATAATGATAATGATAATGATGATAATAATGATAGCAATGATGTTTAGAGTAAATAACAATAATAACAATAATTGCAGTAGTTGTAGCAATGATAATGATAACGATAATAGCAATCATACTTATTTGTAATGATAATAATGATAATGATAATAATGATTATAATAATGATACTACTACTACTACTACTGCTAATAATAATAATGATAATAACAATGATAGTAGTAATGATAATAACAACAATAAAACAACAACAACAATAACAATATTAATAATAATGATAATAATGATAATGATGATAATGATAATAATAATGATATAATAATAATAATATAATAAATAATAATAATAAATAATAATAATAATAATAATAATAATAATAATAATAATAATAATAATAATGATAATAATAATAATAATAATAATAATAATAATAATAATAATAATAATAATAATAATAATAATAATAATAATAACGATGATATGATGATAATAATAGTAATAATGATAATAATTATGATAATGTCAATAACAATAATATTAATGATAATGATAGTGATGGTGATAACAATAATGACAATAATAATGATATTGATGATAATAATGATAATGAAAATGATAATAGTAACAGTAATAATAATGATAATAATTATAAAAATAACCGTAACAACAACAATAATTATAAGAATATAGTTTATATTACCATTATGATAATTATGAATTGTATTATTAGTGATAATAGAATAAATAATTGTAATCCTTTCTATTATCATTATGACAATAATAATGAGGAGGATAAAGGGTAGTAATACCAACCAACAATATAAAAGCAACAATAATAAGATGATAACGATAAAAGAAAAATTCATAGCAATGATATTGATACTAATAATAAAATAAGAAGAAAAACAGTATCAATAATATGATAACGATAAAAGAAAAATTCATAGCAATGATATTGATACTAATAATAATGACAAGAATAACTGTAACATTAATCAAAAAAATTTATAATTGGAATGATGATAATGAAAACCATATAAGCAGTAATGATAACACTAACTGTAACGACGATAGTAAAAATGTACGGCAATCAGCGTTGTCCTTATGATAACTATTTTACCACTGTTTTTGTCCCTCTAATCCAATACTCATATTAATAGTAGCTGTATTAACAACAGCGTCACGAACAGCAGTAGCAGCAAAACAAGCTAAGGCGATAGCAGTAGTAAAAATAACATTACTAGCAACAATAGTAGCAATTTTGGTAGCAATGGCACTGACATCAGCAACAGTAAATCTTTTTTTTTAACAATGGCCTCTAAATTTAACAGACGCGCCTACGCCTCCCTTTATCATTTACCCTGAGGCGTGGTAGCCATTCTCGCAGCAGCTATAATAGTATTAAAGCATTGATAGGAATTGTTGTAATAGTAGTAAGACTAGTTGCAGCAGTAGCAGCAGTAGTAACCGTGGTAGTAAGGAATAGACAGTAGCATCACCAGTAGCGTAGTAACGTTATCATCATCCCTAAAAACTCAAACACAAAAGCCTGCTCCTCCGAAAATTAAATGAAGCTCATTTTTTTTTTCGCGATCTGAGAAAAAATACATAGGAGGGAAATCAGAACTTGGAGAATTTGAGGAAATTCCACGTTGTCCATCGCTAACAATGGGACAAATATAGTATTAGAGAAAGCCCATATTGTACATTCGGGAGAGGGGTCTATCTCGCGAGGGAAGAGTTGACAAGTTACCCTTTTTTAATCTTCGTTATGCTGAAAGATGCTGTAAAGTGTTCGTATATCTGTATTTCAAATGGCAATATCATCCTTTGGTTTAGATGTGAAATGGATCTTCCTTGTGGCGTAAGTGAAGTGTATTCATGACATTGCTATTGTGCATCATATCATTTATGAAATTAGCCATCTGTGTCACGAAAAGCTTTGTCTTGTTCATCAACGAAATGACAATATATTTGTTCTTTAACTCGAGCGAGAGGTTAATAAGAAACACTTCAATTGAAAAAGGCTACATAGCAGTCACATACACTACTTCTTCCAGGATATAACGTAAAAAGATTTATGTCTTCCTTCATGGTTAGAACGGAAGCATCGCGGATCAGGCAGGCCGTGGCAGATGTTTTCGGAGACTATTTTTTCGGAAAAATAACCACGTCTTCGTTCTTTCACTCAATCTCAAACATACCGAAAAGAATTCTAATAAAAAAACGACAAATAAATAACCCACACAATTCCCTCTGCAATATAACACATGTAAAAGAGTCGATTTACATTTTCCTTTGCGGTGAGGACGGAAACATCACGCATCAGGCAGGCAGCGGCAGATGTTCTCGGGAGTTAGCGACTCAGCGAGAACGCTCTCAGTGTGCATCTGTGCGTGGTGGCGTGAGGATCTTTATCGCGCTCTCTTGGTGCTAACTTTTGTATGGACCCCATATTATTCAAGCTTCTGTTGTCGTATTCGTTTGTTATTTTCTGTGCGTGCGGAGCAATATGACAGTTGGCCATATTCGGTTTTATTTTTTCGAGAACATATGAAAGTGAAAGTTAAAGAGAGTTTTTTTTTCTTTTTTGATTCGAGAATAGGCCTCGGCCGCTACCGCCTCATCAAGAGTTCGTATTTTTATCTCTATTGATCATAATGCGGTTGTCATAATCTACAAGTGTATTTTTCATCACGTTTCTTTCCAGTTATATAAATTTCTGTGTGCTAGTGAAAGTGAAGATACTGTGATAAAAGAGGGGAAAAAAGAAAAAAAAAGATACATATCAGGATTTTTTTTCCATTTTTTATTTTTATTGGTTCCCATCATCTGTCGGAAGTGTGCAATTCGAAAAAAAAAAAAATAAAAAAAAAAACGAAACTACTGTAACTGTAAAAATAAGTAATATATTCGAAGAACGTTGAGGATACAGCTGTAGTCGTTGTATCTCGCTCTTCAACCCTTTTTCTCCTTCTCTTCTGCTTGAAGTGATTCTACCAGCGACCTTCAGAAAACAGGTAAGTTGAGAAGCAAAAATTGAAAGCAGGAGGAATGATTACCTTTTAGACGACTAAGATCAGTCCGGGGAAGAAGGGTTTATGCAGGTGAAAAAAGTTATTATTATTATTATTATTATTTATTATTATTATTTTTTTTTTTATTTTTTAGTACTATACATGTATGTAGGCCTATACATGTGAGTAAGTAGGCAGATAAATAGATAAATAGATAGACCGACAGATAGATATATAGATAAACGTATATATATGTTGATAGAGAGATAGATAGATAAATACATAGACTTACAGATAGATTAATAGACAGATAAAGATAGATATATGTAGAGAAGATAGGTAGACATACATATATGCTTGTGTGTTTGTAGGTATATATTTTAACGTGTATGCTTGTATTACAAATACATGCATACACATACATACATGTATACACATGCATGTATGTGTAAACAGGCGAGTCACGAGCAGTCAAAAACCAGTTTCCCGTGCAAGCGACAAGGCGAACTCATTCAGTTTTCCGTTATTTGTTTTGCTTTCATTCTGATATTAGTTCGATTCTTGTGTTTCCACTTATTTTCCACTTCGGATTGTATGGTAGTCTATCGTTAGGAGCATCAGGCATGGTTGTGTTTATCAAAGACACAGTCAAGCAAAGAGACGAGCACGCATGCAGGTTCCCGCCCACCCATCGTAACATGTAGACGTACACGCGGTAGCGCACGTACATGCACACGCCCACGTATGCACACGCGCTAGCACACGCACATAAACGCACGCACGACACATACACACACACACACACACACACACACACACACACACACACACACACACACACACACACACACGACAACACAGCTCACACTTACTCACACACACACACACACACACACACACACACACACACACACACACACACACACACACACACACACACACACACACACACACACACACACACACACACACACACACACACACATACACATACACATACACACACACACACTCACACACAACACACACACACACACACACACACACACACACACACACACACACACACACACACACACACACACACACACACACACACACACACACACACACACACACACACACACACACACACACACACACAAACTCACACACACATACAAAGAGAGGGAAAGGGAGAGGAAGACTGACTCACTGACAGACAGACAGACAGACACAGAGGCATTATACATGAGAGCAAATAACTTCTCATTCTCATTCTCTCCCTCTTTCTCCCTTCCCCCTTCCCCTTCTCGTTCTCTGCCTCCCCCTTCTCCCTTCCCACTTTCCCCTTTCCCCTCTCATTCTCTCCCTCTTTCTTCCTCCCCCTTTTCCCTTTCCTCCACCCAGGGCCTATGTAGCCCTTCACGCCCCGCCCTCCCGGAAAAGGGGAAACGCAAGCAGGCATTTCGCGACCTCGATGCAGTCCAAGTCTCTGCTTCCCTCATCACTGTGAGCTCCAGCAGTGAATCACTCAGGCACTAGGGAGAAAGGGAGACCCCCCCCCCTTCTCCCTCTACCACAACATTACCTAGTGGCACAGGGGGTCGCCTGCGAGATGCCAAATTATTTGAGTCTCGGTCGGGCGCTGAGTTACCTGGGGATGCTTGACCCTGTCACGCGGTCGCCGGAATATCGCGCGCTCGCCATGACATAACGGGGCTCGAGATATGTTGCACCTCCCCGTATGGCAACGCGCGCCATTCAGGCAAGGCTTTAAATGCCTCGCGCGATGTATGGCATCAGGATCCATTACCAAGCACTCGAAGCCCTCATTGCTTCACGCGGCAGCTCATGAAGTCAATGCTGAACACTTCCTCCTTGACTCCGTGACTCATGCTTGCTGCACACCTCATCCCTGGCGCCTGGCTCCAGCTGGGAAAGTACCTCAGCTCCTTCGTGGCCGCCCGCGAGGCACGCGCCGCCCAGGTGGCCCGCTCGCGCGCGCTTATTGGTCTTAACCTGTTTAAGTATGGGGGTGATGGAAGCGCAGCGCGTGCACCCGCGCTTTGTTTGTTCGGCGACCTATGACACCGCGTGGCATTTGGCATTCGAGGTGTCGAAGGGTCGGCCCCGTGCCCGGCCGGGATGCCTCGGACGAAGGATGCCCCAGGGGAAAGAGGCGTCCATCCTCATCCGTGTGCGCTCGGCGCTGTGGTGTTGGATGTTGTCGCTCCGTGCCTGACGAAGACACGTCGGCACAACATCCGAGGAAGCAGTCAGCGAGCGAAACAAGGGCTGCCGCCGCTGAATGACGAGCGATGAATTGCCAATCAGAGGAAATTGGCGCCCCAGTAATCTGCGGCGGGAGCGGCGCTCTCCGGGCGGCAGGGCGGCGGCGGCGGCACTGCAGTATGCGAAGATCCGTCACTGATTCGTGACGTCCGACAGGGTTGCAGGACGCGAGACCAGCATGGCGTAGGATTGGGCGCTGAGGGCGGAAAAAGGGTGACCCTGCAGGGTGACCTTTAGTGAAGGGCTAGGGGACTGCAGAATGGCGGGGAGAAAGCCTGTAATCTGACGTGGAAGAGGCAGCAGCGAGGAACAAGGAAGCTGCAGTGCGAATACAGAAGGGAGCTTTCTGTGTGACGAAGTGACAGCGCAGTCAGAGAGCGAGGATAAGCTGGGATGAAAAGATGTGAGTAGAGTATTTTGCAAGAAGAAGAAAGGTGTACGTATGGTCGTATGGGCACAATGTAAAACGTCTCACACGACGGCTGATATTACTTCCTAAAGCGATAAGGGTGAAATTAGTGCCCCACCACGTTACTGACGAGTGTAGCACTATTTACATCCTCGAGCCCCTTCCCCCCTACCCCTCTCTCCATCCATTTACTTCTATCTGCCCCCCCTTTCCTCCCTACCCCGCCCCTCGCCCCTCCCAATCCCGCGGGGGGGGGGGGGATTCTGCAGCAGGTATTAAGGATTCACGTCTCGTCTTGACTTAATGCCCGTGCGTGCGACGCTGAACACGTGTGTTTACAGTATACATGATGACACTTGTGTATGCGGAGTTTGTGTATTTCACGCGGCGCTCATTTGTGTGTGTGTGGGGGGGGGGGTGAGTGTGTGTGTGTCGTGTGTTGTGTGGGGGGGGTGAGTGTTGTGTGTGTCGTGTGTGTGTGTGGTGTGGGGGTGAGTGTTGTGTGTTGTGTGTGTGTGGTGGGGAGGGGGGGGTGAGTGTTGTGTGTGTGTCGTGTGTTGTGTGTGTGTGTGTGGGGGGTGTGTGTGTGTCGTGTGTTGTGTGTGTGTGGGGGGGGTGTTGTGTGTGTGTGCGTGTACGCGTGTCGTGATTGAGTGTGTGTGCGTGATTGAGTGTGTGCGTGCGTGATTGAGTGTGTACGTGCGTGATTGGGTGTATCTTTGTTTATTTGTTTGTTTTATGTTTTCAGTCTGTGTTTGTCTTTGTGTGTATGCATATGCACGCTAAACTGTATGAACAAGTGCGACTCCTTATACATTTTACTTGCATAACGGAGTACCAAGAACTCGACGCTGTCATCCCAAGTTCCCGGAAACAAGGATCTAGACAAACTACGCTAATTCTCATTGTTGCACGACTGTTAATGTTATTGCTATCAGCATGCGTGAGGTAGAAAACTTCTTCGAACTTCAGCTATTTTTAGCGATTTTTTTATTGTTGTACATTTCTCTCTATTTATTTATTTATTTATTACTTTTTTTTAAAGATTACAACCCGTCATAACCTATATGGGAAGTTACTCCAGACACTTGAAGGGGAAAAGAGGCGAAGGAAGAGAAAATTTCAAACTTCCATCAAATCCAATTTAACACATGGCGTAACCTAACTTCACTCTAACTCCCACGCTGAATTTGAACGTAGCTTCCCCTCCAAAAATCGATTCCTAATGTCTAACTTGCTCGGTAACGTAGACCTAATCTAAACACCATTCGCTTTCTGATCTCTTTTTCTTCTTTTCTTCCATTCCTCTTCTTTTCTGTTTTTTTTCTTTTTTTTCGCGGTTTTTCTGTTACTCTGTTTGTCTTCTGGTCCTGCTTTCCCCATTCTTCCATTCTCTCGCTTTTCGGTCTCTTTTTTATTTCTTCCATTCCTCTTCTTCTTTCTCTGTTTTTTTTTTTCTCCGCGGTTTTTCTGTTCCTCTATTCGTCTTCCGTCCCTTTCCCATTCTTCTTCTCTTCTCTTTTTTTTTTTCTTTTCATCCATTCCTTTCCTTCTCTGTCTGTTTTTTTTCCGCTTTTTCCCGTCTATTCGTCTTTCCGTCCTTCTTCCCTCTTCATTCTCTTCCCTTCCCTCTCTTTCTTCTTCCTCTCACTCTTATATAGTCTCCTCAATGCTGGATCTTTCTTCCCCGCTTTTTTTTCCCCGTTTGCTTTTCTTTCCGGTTTCCCTCTTTCCGCATTTTCCCCCTTTTTCTTCTTCCATCTTTCTGTCCTCCCCCTTACTCTTCTCATGTTGTTTTCTCTCCCCTCTCTCTCTCTTTCTCCCATCCCTCTTTTTTTTCTTTTCTTTTCTTCATCCCTTCTTTCCTGTCCCTTCTCCCCTCTTTCGTACATCGCTCGGACCAGCCAGACGTGATTCGATAAATTAAAAGACGCTGGAGATAATATCCCCTGGGATGTGGGGCTGGGCGAGCGAGGGAGGAGGAGGGAGGGAGGGAGCGAGGGAGGAGGAGAAGGGGTGGGGAGCGAGGGAGGAGGGAGGAGGGGGTGGGCGAAGGGAGGGAGGGAGGGAGGGGCTGGGGCGAGCGAGGGAGGGAGGGAGGGAGGAGGGGCTGGGCGAGCGAGGGAGGAGGGAGGGAGGGAGGGGGCTGGGGAAGCGAGGGAGGGAGGGAGGGAGGGAGGGGGGAGGAGGAGGGAGGGAGGGAGCGGGGAGGGAGGGAGGAGGGGGGGGGAAGGGAGGGAGGGGAGGGCTGGGCGAGCGAGGGGAGGAGGGAGGGAGGGGTGGTGCGAGCGAGGGAGGGGGCTGGGGCGAGCGAGGGGGA